CAGCCGGTCTCAAAAAGGAAAAAAAAAAAAAAAAAAAGCGAGCTCAAAGAAGAATTATAAAAGATAAAAAGAACAACCAAAGGTAACACAATGTGAACCAGAGGAACTTAAGGAAAATATGAAAGAGCAAAAAAGAAATCATTATAGTGAAAATCATGTCAGAAGCAACAAAAACTGATTAAATACAATTGAAAAATCAATAAAGTGGTATGTATGTAGGATAAATGAATTTACACAAAATGAAATGGAAAAGAGCAATCACGATGACATGTTTGTAGAGAAGATATAAATGCTATCTATAATAGTAACATTCAACATGTGCAAATTCATATGCCCAAAGAAGAATATAGAAAAATGGACAGAAAAAATATTTGAGAATACAAGGGGAGACTTTCCTATAATAGAAATAATCTTTAGATCAAAAGAGTACCAGAAAAAACTGATACAGAAACTACTAGTCTTAATGAACTTCAAACATAATGAAAGAAATGCATGGATATACGGGCAGAAAAAATAGTCACCTAAAAGTAGGAAAAATCAGGCTGGCCTTGGGGTTTCCATAGCAACATCCACTTTAAGAGAAGCAGTGGAACAATCCCTACAAGTTCATCATTTTGTCACCTCTCATTCTCTCATTTGCTCTCTAAAATCTACCTTTAGTCTCCTACACCATGCTAAACTTGGATCCTCAAAGTTCAATAGTGAATTTCCCATCAGAAGACCCAACAGATTGCCCCCTTTTCTCAGTCCTTATCCTCTTTGACTTCTCCATAGCTGGCACCATTGATCAATTTCTCCTCAAAACTCTTCTTAGACTTTTGTGATAGTATAGTATTCCTCTCTCCCATCTCTCTGACTACTCTATTACATTTCTGCTTTTTTATTCTATAACCAAAAAGTGAACTTTCCCCATGATTTGGCTCTTAAACCTATGCCAAGCTCCTTTTTTCAAAAATATTATCCAACTCTATAGCTTTAACCGTAATATTGATGGGAAGACTCCCAAATCTATACCCCAGCCTTGACCTCCTCACTTCAGCTTCTTAAACTTTTCCAGTAGCTTACTGAATTACCAACACTTTCTTGAATGTTTTATCTTATTTTCCTCTCCTAAAATCAACTTACTCTCTTAATCACTGTTTAGTAATGGTATCACCATTCTCTCAATTTGATTCTCTTCCTTTTTGCTTGGTCCTTAGGTCCAATTAACTTCCTAGTTCTACCAAATATTACTTCAAAATATCTCTTAAATCTACCTTTCCTTTGCATTTTCACTGCTGCCAACCTAGATACAGTCCCAGTCATATAACACCATGATGGTAACATAAACTTTCTGTCTGATCTGGGCACTGCTACCAGACTACAAAATTCCCCACTGAGAACAAGATGAAATTAGAACTATTAGTTTGACAATTAAGATCCTCCACCACCTGACACCATCTAGCCTGGGTCTTTATTTTTCTTACATTATTGAGTCTAATATCATGAAAGAGTTTGGGCTTTAGAGGCAGAAAACCTGGGTTCAAATCCTGACTCTATCATCTGCCAGCAGTGTTGTTGTGCGCAAGTAAATTAACTCCTCTGGGCTTCAGTTGCTTCATCCAAAAAATTAGGATAATAATACTAACCTTACAAAGTTCTTTTAAGATAAGACAATGTATGTAAAGGGCACAGTAAAGTGGTTTCCACAAGGTAAGAAGAACTCAATAAATAATAGCTATTATTCTCATTTCCTGTATAAAAACTATACCATCTCCTCTCACCTATCAAAATCTTATCCATTCTTTAAGCCTAGGTCATAACTAACCTTGTCCACAAGAACCTATCCTGAACAGCTCAGCTTTAAGTGATTTTTTCATAGAGATGCTCTCAATAAATATATATTTTTTTACCTTTCAACATCTCTACACCATATACTTAGTTGGTATCTCTCAGCAGCATGTATCTTACCTCACCATGAGATAATTATAAATGTACTTCCTTTATCTTTGTCATTGAGATATAAGCTCCTTCTGAGCAATACTTGTGTTCCTGCCTTGTGCCTAGCAGAGACTAAGTAAATATCTGTCGAATATTATTGCTTCACCTAACAATGTGGAATGACTATTTTGGGATTTACAGAAGGGATTAATGTCCATCTCATCATACTGACTTTTTCTAAAGAAAGTAAATGGCTTCCATAACTATTTGTTTAGTATGACCTGCCCAGTGATTCAATTTTATTACCAATAGGTTGATGACTAATTGTCACAGCTGAAAAGATTTTATTTCTCTATAATAATATATTCTTCAGATTTTCTTTTAAAACCTTTAACCATTCACTCTAATAAGAGTTGCTCAATACCTGTCAAATCACCTTGAGTAATTACCACAAAGGAAACATTAGCTAAGAAAGTGGCATCTTCTTTTACCATTCTGTAGTTTCTGGAACTAAACCAATGACTCAAATTTTATTTTAGATAAATAAAGAAATACTTTCAGATATATTTTAATCTACTTGCAATTTTGAAAAAAAATTAATTTATAAAGACATAGGTAAATATTTAAGGTACACAAATATGAAAGGCAAAAATAATGTTTCCAGTCTTGTAATTTTAAATGGCTTTAAATGATTTTTAAATTATTTTGGAAATTTTCAAATGTTGATCTGTAATTACATGTACATTAGAAAAGAAATTCAGAGCTGAAAAATTTGGTTTATTATCTCACAGTTTTGTTTATATATTATTAAATAAGTGCCTTGGCTGTTTTTTTCCATTCAATGGATTGACAGGCTAACTGGCTATTTTTGTATTAGGTAAGGGGAGCTTTTATTAATCCAATCCATAAGTGTAAATTAACAATATCATTAAAGACATAATGAAATATGTTATTTTTCATGGAAATTAAAGTATTTCATTTAGAATGATAATGTCAAGGTTTGTTTTTTCCCAAAGATTCACTACAAAATAACTTCTATCTAAAATAAACTACACTCTGTTGTAATCTATCTGATGCTATTTTGCTGAAAGGATATTTCATTGATGTATTTAATGTAGTTTTTAAATCTACCATAACAGTTACATCCTTCTCTTATCATGGCTATGCATTAAGGCTATAGGGTTTTATTTAATATATAAAATATGCTGATGTATATTTAGCAGTTGAATTATTGGTTGAATTTCAAGAAAACATATTTAGAAAAACATTTAACAAGAAAAACATATTTAGAAAACATTTGCCCACCACGTTAGCAGAATTAAGTAAACTTTTCAGCCTGCCAATTTTTTTAAAAGTACAATATTTGAGCCAGGGTTGCATTCTGGCAGATGTGTTATAACAACCATAAATTCATTCACTGTGCCAGGATACATTTCTATGACAGATCTTACCTGTTCTTTATTGCTTTGTATAGAGAACTCTCTTTGAAATGTATGGTAAGTTAGTGCCTTAAGAGATATTTAAAAACAAAAACAAAAAAACACTTACGGGAGGTCCAGGGTCCCCTTTTGGCCCTCTCAGATACTCCATTTCGAGCATTGTATTAAGATCCTCATAATAATAATAATCATAAAGCTCAGTTTCATAGCTATTTTCAATGGGATAAGTAGCATCAAGATGAAATTCACCTTCCTTCCTTAGATCAAGGTGATTATCCACAGATGTCTCATCTGTCTTTCTGTATAAGGTTGTGTTTAAAATCTGTTGCATTTCCATGAGTTCATTAGTGTGTAGATTTGCTGTGATAGCCTTCTTGAGATTAGTAATCATATCTTGTTTTATATGTGGAAGAATAGATGACATCTTCTTAAACAGTGACAGACCAGTTACTCGATCATCATGTTGTGTGATATCAGATACATTTAGGAGAGAACTAAATTTTTTCTTGGTATTTATTCTTGCCTCACTGAGGTACTCATGGGTTGTTGACAAGCTTAAATTTGTCTGAGTATGTTTCTCAATAATCATTTCTTTGGCCTGTAAACCATGGTTTGTGAGATCCACAGCAGAGACATTTCCTGCAAGAAGAGAAGTTAACTGAGATCTTGATATCTGGTGTTCTTTTTTTTTATGCACTGCTGCATAGTCATTATTTACTATATTTGGAATGCTTTTGCCTTCAGTAAATGAATCCTCTGAGAGTACTTTTTCACCAAATTGTTTGGGCAGGCTAGAGTGTTCCAATATTTTAGTTGGTTTGATAGTTGTTTGAGGAAGGCTTGTTTCAGGTGGGTATTTGGTTGCTTGACAACACTGCTGTTTCACATATCTGTGGTAGTCTGCAGATGCTTCTGCAGAAGGAATAATATCCAACTGACATACTATTCCTTCAAAATGGACAGAATTATTATTCATACTTCCTAAGGTAAATACACTGTTATCATCAAAGGTATGAACTTCTGGAATAGTCTCTGTGCTAAAATGTTTATTTCCACACTCAACAAACAGTGAGACAACTTGATTTCTAATAGTAATGGCAAATGAGTGCCATTGCTCGTCATGAACACTGTAGTTGAAAAATACAGACTGCTTTCCTCCAATGTACAGTCCTAATTTTTTAGGTAGTAATTGTACTCCTAATTGCAGTCTATTTTTATTTCTAATGCTGAAGAGAAATGCATTGTTCACTCTATGTGACTGTAACCCAATTAATATTGTAAATGGCTGTTCTAGGTTGACTGGTAAAATTTTCATGAGAGGTGACTCAATATAAGTATCATTTTCTAAAGCGACACCTGATTCTGATAAGTGCACCCCCTGAGGTAATGTTGTAGATGATGGTGGTACAGCAGTCACTGATGATGAGTGTCTTACATCTTTGCCTCCAAGGCCTAGTTGATGAAGAATATCTATGCCTGGAAATTAAAAAGAGAGAGAGAGAGAGAGAGAAAGAGAAAAAGAATCTTACTCTTATGCATTCATGTGTTCTTATAAATGGTTGAGTATGAGAAAATCTTCCTTGTATCAACAGTAGTTTCTAAAATAAACATGCTCTATCAATAACTATTTTCCACATAACAAGAGATGGGTGGGAGAGAGTAAGACATTATACTCAATAGTTTGAATAAAGCATGTGTGTAGACATGCACACAAGCACACGCACCCACCAATATTTCTAAACCCAAAATTAAAGAATTAGTTTAGTTCTCTCATTTTTTCCATTTGACTAGAATTCTTGTTTCTCCAATGAATATACATGTTCAAAGATTCCCAGATGCCATTTACTTTTTAATTTAGAACTTAAAATTTAATGACACATATTTTAAAGGGAAACTGGGGTCATACTTAACAAAAAAAAAATTGTGATTTGGAAACCATTTTATAAATTAAGCTTTCACAATCCCTGTAACTATGATTTTTCAGGCTGTTTTCCCTTCTAACCTTCTGGGAATTTACAAATCACATAGAAGCTCTCCCTAAGCTTAATACCTTAAGTGTATGCTACACTAAAAGTCCTCTGGTCACTAAAATCCTTTGATAACTCCTGGGTAAGAGAATTTAAATTTGTTTCATTGGTGAACACCACACTTTTTCTGTCCCTTCCAAGTTTCTCTCTCTTTCATTTTTTTTCCCCAAGTCTTCCATAGAAAATTTTATTCAATTTGTAGACTGTTTTAATATTTATATTTAATGTAATACGCATTATATATGATATGGATTTGATACAATTATGGATTTTTCTGATTTATTGTTCATTGTAATATTACCAGTAGTATACTGCTTATCTCCCTTACCTAATTATAAGTTCCTAAAAGACAGGTTCTGTCTGATTCATTAATGGATTTCTATAGCATTTGCCTTGCAAATAGTTCTGTAATTTCTTTTTTTTTTTTTTTTTTTTTTTTTTTTT